TGCGTGGTTGGTTTCCGGCCGCATTTACCCGATAACGTTAGGGGTACTTGACTTCAGCCACTGAGTCTTATGTCCTTTGGGGTTCAAGTTTGTTTGCGCCCAGTTACCTCGTAGTTCGTTGACTTGCTTTGGGCGCCTCTGTGTGACTGTTATCCAACTCGCGACCTTGGCCGCTTATCACATGGATTGCAAGCCAAAATGGCTGGACTGAATGCCAGAGCAGTTGTATTGGCCCTTTGTGCATCGATTGCTTTCGTCAGTACGTCAGGCGCGTAAGCTATCGTATCATGCGCTCTAGACTCTAGCACCTCACTCTAGTCATTCAGGCACCGCACCTGCCCTAAACCCTGAACCCTAAACGTGTGTAGGATTCCGGGATACACCCATCCACACGAGCCTCGCCATGACCTGCAGGAAATGGCAAGGGCATGACTGCCTGCCTTAGCGGAAAGCCATTAAAAACCATCAGAAGCCCTTGCCAACATTTCTTTGACCCCTAAACCCTCAACCTTAAGCCCCTCAAGGCAAACAGCCCTAAGCCCTAAACCTTCAGCCCTGAAACTTATCGTCCCCTTCTAGAAACCCTTAAAGGAGACCGAACATAGAACCCAGTTTAACGGAACCCTCTTTGTTTTGTGTAACCTTGTTATAGATCCCTTGAAGGAGCCCCAAGCAAGGTTCCCCCTCCTAAACCCTAAACCCTGAACCCCAAGCCCTAAGCCCTAAACCCTAAACCCTAAAAAATAAGCCCTAACCCCGAAACCCTAAACTCTAAAAAATAAACCCTGACCCCAACTCTAAAAATAAACCCTAAACCCTAAAGCCTAAACTCTAAAAAATAAGCCCTAACCCCGAAACCCTAAACTCTAAAAAAACAAAACCCTGACCCCAACTCTAAAATATAAACCCTAACCCCTAAACCCGAAACCCTGAACCCCGAGCCCCAAGCAAGGTTTCCCCTTGCCGAAGTCGAGCCAGCTCCCAGCTCACTGCTGCAGCGGAGCGACTCACTCGAGGATTCCGGTGCCTGCCAGGACGGTTTAGGGTTTAGGGTTTTAGGGTTTTGGGGTTTACGGTTTAGGGTTTAGGGTGTAGGGTTTAGGGTTTAGGGGCTTAGAGTCTAGGGTTCAGGGTTTAGGGCTTAGGGTTCAGGGTTTAGGCCACACGGTTCCTTTAAGGGCTCCCTGAAGGGATCCTTTGTGGGACTTTCCGGAAATTAAGGGGTACCTTAATTTGGGGTCCCTAGAATACGGATCCTGCTGTTTAGGGTGCTCTATTCGGGTCCCCTATGTTCGGAAACCCCCGTATGGGCTCCTGTATGGGTTCTCGTAAGTGGAGGCTTTAAAGGGTTAGGGGATCCTGTAAGGTTTCCTTTAGAGGCGATCCGTTAAGGGCTCCTTTATTAAGAGATCCTTTACAAGATACAGTTAAGGAGACAGGGTATGGTTTAACCTTGAAACATCTACAAAAGGTCTACATAGGTTGCGGCAGGGCTCTGTCAGGGTCACTGAGGGATTATATGCCCAGAGTTTTGGCTTCCAGTTTAGGAGATAAAGGTTTCGCGTTTAGCGTTTTTGATTACGATTTAGGCGGGTTTGCTTCAGGTGATTTGTGCGGTTTTTTGGCTAGGAGCGGGGGATGTCAATGCAGGGATTGCGCCGAACAGTGGTGAAAGTCTGGGTTCACTAAGTCAGTAGAGGGCTTAGGGATGTTGAAAAGATTTCAGGTTTCAGAGAGCGGCGTTTTGTTCTTGCAGCGGCCGAATGAACGCTCGCCTGTTTGTTTCAAGGTGAGCAACAGAACAAAACCTTCGGAAGAGAGGTGGTGTAGTGCATTGGCCAACATGGGGGCACAGCTTTTTTCATCAGGCTGCAACGGCATAGTGTGCAAGCCAAACCGCAAGCAGTGGTGACGTCAACCTAAACACCTAAACGGCTCTAGTACTGCTTCAGTTCCAAACCAGCCTGCACCCTCCGTAGTCGTACTTGGGTGATCCGGCAACTTAGCCATCAGCTTCACAGCAGTGCATAGTAACTCTCTATGTAGGGAATCCCACTAAGCCTCCTTAGACCTCAATCCCTGAACTTAAAGTCCAACCCCGGAACCCTACACCGTCACCTCCGAAGCCTAAACCTTCGACCGCGAGACTCCATCTGACTTTGCTGAGCCCAGCACCGGAAACCCTGCAATCCAGCCAGGATACATACTTCTCGGATTGGGGATCCTCGGGCATGAAGGTGGGGAACAGTAGTTGTACGAACCGTCATAACGACAATATAACAGTCGTCGTCGTAGGAGTTAGTAGCAGTCGCAGTAGCAGTAGCA